ACTAAGTTAGGGGTTGACGTCGTCCAGTCCTGTAAATAATATAATAATAATTTTTCCTTCACGTTCCCAGTGGAACATAGGGCTCCAAGCTAGTGGCTTGAAGTTTCTGTAGCAGTGTTTAATTTTTACAGGATGGGGTTGCTAGCCTCATGCCCAACCTTTCCTCTTTACCAGCATTATTTCTGGCTCAGTGAGGTAAAGGAGTGCGCCGGCCGGGGATCGAACCCCGGACCATATGCATGGTCGGCGAGCGTGCTAACCGCTATACCACCGACGCAGCATCTTACATTTTGCAGGGGCGAATCGCATGCCAAACATACGAAGATTGCTGCTCAAGGTGTTCAGAAGACTCTGCTGGATTTTGTCAGCATCCTCCCCTAACAGGACTATGTCATCTGCATATTCTAAGTCCATAAGACTATACCCTGGTAACAAGTCGATTCCTAAGTCACTACGTTCAGTTAAGGATACTTCCTTTAGCATATCTATGATGAAGTTAAACAGAAATGGGGAAAGTGGACATCCCTGTCGGACACCACTGGTTGTTACTAATTCAGATGACAATTCCCCATAAGCCCTTACACGACTACGTGAGTTTGAATAGAGTGCCTTGATTAGTGCAATGTACTTTCTTGGCACTCCCTTCACAGTCAGACATTGCCATAGTACCTTTCGGTCCACGGAGTCGAAGGCCGCCTTCAAGTCAAGAAATATGACAATTGTTGGACGCCGAAAAGTGTGTCTATGTTCTAGAATCTGTCGAAGAGTGAAGATTCGATCTATGCACCCTCTACCTGGTCTAAAGCCTGCTTGATTTTCCCTTGTCTGTTCCTCCCGAGTTCTGCTTAGTCTATGCATGATTACTGAGCCTAGGATTTTAGAGACTATGTTCGTTAGGCTGATCCCCCTATGATTATCACATGAGGACTTGTTTCCCTTCTTGAATATCGGTATAATAAGTGACTTACTCCAGTCTGATGGTACTGTCTCTGATTCCCAGACTTTGCCTAGTACCTCAGTTAATCTACAAACTAGTATGTCACCCCCATATTTAAACACCTCCGGAATAATTCCGTCGGGTCCTGCCGCTTTGCCTCGTTTCAAATTACTGATAGCTTTTGTGACCTCACTTACAGACGGCGGACCAGTGTCTTTATCCCGTTCGGGTGTGTGCTGGATGTCGGGGAGGTTCAGTGTGGCTGTAGGTAAGTTAAATTGTTCCTCAAAATGTTCTTTCCAGCGTTCAAGGTGTCTATCCTGAGAGCTAATTATAGTGCCATTTTTTTCCGAGATTGTCTCATTGATGATTTGTCTTCTCGGAGGGTGAAGATATGATCAATACACCCTCTTCCTGGTCTAAAGCCTGCCTGGCTCTCTCGTGTTTGTGCTTCCCGAGCACCACTCAGTCTACGCATGATTATTGAGCCTAAGACTTTAGATACTATATTAGTCAAGCTAATCCCTCTGTGATTATCACAGGAAGACTTGTCTCCCTTCTTGTATATGGGGATAATCAGTGACTTACACCAACCCGATGGGACTTCTTCTGATTCCCAGACGCTGCCTAGTACCTCAGTTAATCCGGACAGTAAGCTGTCTCCACCGTACTTAAATACCTCTGGAGTCATTCCATCAGGTCCCGCTGCTTTGCCTAGTTTCAGATTGGTGACAGCTTTAGTAACCTCAGTTAGTGACGGAGGACCTGTGTCTATATCCCATTCAGGGAGGTGTTGGATGCTCGGAAGGTTGAGCGTGGCTGTGGGCAAATTAAACTGCTCCTCATAATGCTCTTTCCAACGATCCAGTCGTCTATCCTGGGAGCTAATTATAGTGCCATTTTTTTCCGAGATTGTCTCACTAATGATTTGTCTTCTCCCACCCGTTTCCCTGATGAGTCCAAAGAGTTGCCTGGTGTTGCCTATCCTCGAAGCTTTCTCCATCTCTTTGGCTTTTGTCGCCCACCACTGTTCACGGTCCTTGCGGAGACTTTTCGTAAGTTTCCTCTTGTGCAGCTTTCGCTCCTCATTGAATTCGGAGCTCGCCGGAATAAGTCTTCTAGCATCTATCAGTTCGGATGAGGCGGTGGAGATCCAGTGGTTTTTACTCACCTTTGGGTTTACCTTATTCACAGCTTTTACAGCTGTATCTATGGCTGCCTGGATATTTTTCCAAGCTTCTTCAGGGTGAGCACAGCTGTCGAACACAGATATGTGTTTAGCTAGTTCTTCCTCAAATACGGATTTAGTTTCCTGATCGAGCTGGGGACGTGATGGTTTTACCGCCAGCTGTTTCCTACGTCCGTTCAGTCGTAAGCACACCCGAGCGCGGACCAGTGCATGGTCGGTATCTACGCACGTGTTCCAGAAGGAGCGACAATCTCCTACCGACCCACGCCAACGATAGCTTATTGCTATGTGGTCTATTTGTGTCCAGCGTTGGTTTGATGAAGGGGGTCTCCAAGTCAAACAGTGTCTCTCCTTGTGTTTAAAGTTAGTGCTTACAAGAAACAAATGATTATCAGAGCAGAACTGTAGGAGACGGTCACCGTTGTCGGTTCGCTGGCACGGAACTCCATAGGTGCCACCGACATCCTTCTCAGATTGACACAATTTCCCTACTTGAGCGTTAAAGTCACCAGCTAGAACGACTATGTCTGAGCGTTTAGCCTTTCCACCAAACTAGACAGCTTTTGGTAGAACTCATCCTTCGTTTCATCTGAACTGCAGTCAGTGGGGGCGTAGGCGGAGATTACGAAAAGGCATCGGCGAGTAGTGCAGTCCTTCCTCCTTCTTACTGATCCGTTCAGGCGGACAGCACACATTCGGCTATCTACCGGGATCCAGTCAAGCAATGTCTTTTCTGCCCTAGTACTCAAAGCTATCCCTACGCCAGCTAATCCTCGTGAACTAGCTGTGGCATCTCCTGACACCCTCAAGGTGAATTTTGCAGATTCAACCTGTTGGCCAGGTGGGGTTAGGTGAATAACCACACTTGGGTCTTGTATGCGTGTTTCTGAAACACAGCATACATCAATGGCTCGTGATGCCAGGGTCTTGGCTAGTGATGCTTGTTGTCCTATTTGGCAAAGTGTCCTAACATTAAGAGCTCCTATATGAAATTGGTGGCGCGGCTTTAAGAGGCTGTCGGTGGTGGTTTTTTGGCTTCCATCGTTTTTAGTGGACGCAGAGTGGAGAGGAAGTGGAGAGCTATCAAGTCGAGGAGTTGCATCAGTGGAAGGAAGGCAAGATGATAGAGATGAAGATGAAGACAAAGATGAGTGAGTAATAGAGAGGTTTCGCGTGCATTTCGGATTGTGAGGGCGATTGTTACTTCCCGGCTGCCCACACCGTGGAAGTTGGTTGCGTGACCGCAGAGCCCAGGGGACAACTGCTTGAGGCCGGTCACACGCGGCCTGTTTTTGTTTGTTCTTTTTGTTTTGTGTGTCTCAGTAGCATATTTATCACTCCTGCCCTGTGACACGGCAGCAGGAAGCGCGGTCGTTGTTAATCCGGGCCACGGCCGATCCGGCATGAAATTTTGTGATTTTGTATTTATCATGATGTTGGATTGGGTAGCTGCTTTTTGTTTAACCGCTATCCAAACAACCTGCCTGGCATGGTAGACCTCAAGAGACATAAGTCTCAGCCAGTATAGCTTGATTAGGTCATTGAGGTGCTCAAGCCCGATCACCACGTCAAGGTAGCACCTTTCGGTCGGTATTATGAATTCATCAGTAATACTAATCAGATTTAAAACAATTAGTTCGCTTTATGAATTTAGACAGAGCAATAAGAAAACGTAATTTGTTTATCTTTCCTAGACATATTGCTTAGTCGATGGCATGATGAGTCAATAAAAAGATCTATTTACAGAAAACCTACCTGGACAGGACAGTATCTTAATTACCACAGCTTCTGCCCTGTTCAGTACAAAAGAGCCTTAGTAAGGTGCCTCTTCAGTAGAATCCAACGAATATGCACTGAAGATACACTTAATGAAGAAGAAAGAAAGTTGACACAAACCCCGGTTGGTTACAGTTATCCAGACAAGTTCATCAGGAGATATAAAGTATTTATTTCCCGGTACGAATCCTGCTTTATTAACCTTTATTGCTTGTTTTAGATATAAAGTAGTCAGAACACCAAGACCCAATCTCCAACTCGCCCCTAAGAAACATATGTACATCAAGCTACCTACCTTATAAGGGGTATCATAGCAACTTGATAACTAGACAAAGACTGAATGCTGCTGTTAAAAAGACTTTTTATACGGTTAATATCATAATAATTGAGAAAGTAAAGACAATATATTTGTGTAAGCCCATAGAACATGCGAAAAATGATGTCACATTCCAATGTATTTACCTATTCGAATGTACGTGTGGACACACACACACATACATAGGGCGGACTCATCGATCTTGGCAAGTAAGGGCTGGATTCTGAGCATATTGCTAAATGGCTCCAGAATCCAATGGAATCTTCAGAACCTATTAACGGTGAGAACAGGAGACCTAGCTCTTCTATTGCGAAACATATTATAGAGACCGATATAGAATTGACGTTAACGGATCTTTTAAACCTATCTATAAAACGTGTTCGGGGAGGGTGTATCCTAAAGTTAGTGGCAGCCATAGCTGGCGATTAGGAAGTTTAAACCACCTTTATGCTATCAAAGCAACAATTCGTTATCACACTAAACCTACCTTTCTTGGTAAACTTTGTTTTCACACCAGCCAGGTTAGATGTACTATTTACCTCTCCTATTTGATTTAGCGGTCTCTATTGTTATTTCGACCTTCAACATGTCCTTTTAACTTGACCTAAATATATTTTCTCACCTCTTGACTCTTTATATACTCCTATAACAACTCCGTGTGTGATGGATCAGATTGTTCAAAATGTGTTACCCAAATACACAATACACTATTCAGACTAATTAAATTACCAAAAAAGATATTTATGCAAGCATAAAATGGAATTTTTTTTCAACTGTCATACCCAGCCAGTCATTCCACGAGATGAAAAACGTGCAACACGACCCAAAGCATCAACACCACCAACACCAAGTACATCCATTTGATCAGCTGGATTATTCAGTGTACCGAACAGAGGACCATCATTTCCAATAGCAGAAACTAAGAGTATTCCATTGGCAGATAATTCTAAAACCTTGAAAATAAATTATTTTATTTAAAATAACATGTTTAACAATGTAAACGTGAAATAAAGATTTAATTGTGACTAAAGCAATACTGTTATGTACTCGTCGCTAAATTATTGTTATGTACTGGTTGAGAAACTAATAGTCCTGACGCAAGAAGGCGGAAATCAGAAGACCACTAGGTTTGCGATGATACATCTATTTTCTAAACACAAGGAGAAGCAATAAGTGGTATCACACCAAAGTAAGTAAGTGTAAGTCACAAGATTGTGAGAACGAAATATATATGAATGTCCAGACAAAAGGTGTGAACAAATCATTAGACAGTCTTAACATGAATGGCTAATTATAATGAAGTATCGATCCATATATACATAGCGAAATATAGCAGACATGTCAACAACCACCATATATGGATATATGTCACCAAGCAACGGACTGTCAACAAACACTCATATTATATATAATATAAGGGGAATATACATTGTTAAAGGAGACAGGTTCATACAAGTAAAATGGTCACAGACTAAGCGAGCAAACAGAAAGAGAGACCAACATACATACACACACATAAATATACATATATATGTGGATACATATCAAATACCCAACCCAGAAAAAGCTGATTCTGTAATGAAACACACCACTTTGATGATAGGCCGAATCACACTCAGTAAGCATTCTTATAAACAGGAAACACAACAAAACATACCCGATTAATTTAGCTCTTGGATGTACGAGGGTAATATTGGAGGAGACCACATGATGAGGAAATCAAAGCTAGTAGGGAAGTCATAGGGTTATCCAGGAAAAGCGATAGAGAATAGAGTACAACCAAGGTGTGCTACCGAAGGTCTGTGATCCACTGGAATGACAAGAAACGAATTAACATTATTCCTTTGGGATCCATGCGGAAACCAGGGCTCTAGAAACACATTTCCATTTCACTATGTTCTCGGCAGTCGATTTTTGTCTGGCTTAGCGATTGCCCACAAGATTTAAATCTCCCCTCGCATGATTTCCTTTTATGCCATCCTCGAAGCGATGTTCAACTTGCTATTTACCTTTCGGGTTCCAGTGAAGGGCTTCAACAGCCTTCTACGCATAGGTTTAATTCATGTTCAGTTCTTTGCCATATAATTGTTTAGCGATAGGTAATTGGTAGGTTCATTGCCGGAGTATATAATGTCGCTTCTCTTTCCTGGCTATCCGATTTTTAGCATTCAGTGAAGACAACTGTTGATATAACTCTGAAGCCTGTTAGGAAATGCTTTTCGTGACACACTGAACTATATAGAAGCATCAATGATATTCCTGACTATGGTGGATTCGACCAGACCTTGAGGAGCTAACAGATGGGCATACGTTGGACCAGCAAAAACAATCTAAAAGATCTGAACCTTACGACACAAACTCGAAAATGTAGAGGCGAAAACCCGTAAACTGGTAGGAGACGGGCAGCAAAGTCAAGACTTCAGCTGAAGCCAACCGTCAACAACAACAACAACAAGCACCAATCACCATCAACAGGTGAAATCTCAAGAAAGCTGCCTCTCTCACTTATCTAGGTGAAACACATGAGGATGTCAAATTTAGCCAGGACAGAAAAAAGCAAGAGAGACTTTCATTACCCACCATCTTTTTTTCTCTACACGTAATCTGGTACTCCCGTACATGTCGTCGAAGAATACATTCCCTATGGAATGGTTAGATAACAATTGATCAGCCCCCGAAGAGTGTCAGATACCTTACTTTACAAACTGTGAGTAAAGTATCATTCTGTCTTGTTGTGGGTATTCATTCACTAAACACCACCCTTCCACAGGATTACTTAATTTCGAACAGTAAAAGCCTGAAAGAACCCAGATCGTGTCGAAGAAACTGCTATTTGTCAACGATGAATTCAAAGATGATATCGCAGCTGAAATCCTGAAGAATCGCTTATGCAGATCACTGAGGAAAGCCTTCTTTATGGCTGAGCTACGGATCAATTTCTATAGCCGACAAATGATCAATGGATGTGTGAAGGATAAACTGCCGCTTCGGACGGGCCGATTCAATGTGTGTTTGTAAGTTCAACTACTGCTCGTGTGGAGCTAGTTATATTGGCCGCCCGCACAAAGCGCACACTTTCCGAACTCATCTCTGAACATTATCCGGAATGGTTAGCAAAGGAACAATGTAAGACAATTACTAGCTCAATTCTCGAGCATTGAGTGAACTCAGGCCACGTAGCTCCACCAGAGTCGTCTTCAACATCATCTACAACGTAAGGCCAAATGGTACCAAGGGCGTCAGGTTTCGGCTTTTGTGTATGGCGTAGGCGCTGGCAATTCATCAATACAACCCCGAACTCGGTTTACAGGAAGAGGTTGTCCACCCTTTTATTGTACCTTCGGCGTAACCTCTTCACTAGTCATTCCCTACAAATATTTCAATTTTCAATTTTACTTTTAGTTGGTTTTTACTTTGATAACTAATTCACTGTTATCACTCTCACATATTCCTTTTTGTACGTTCCCTTACCCTCTTCACACTTGTCAAATGGACTCTCAACTAACACCTTTCTTCTTACTCAATAACAATTTTAACTTTACATTTAATATTCCCATAGTAAAATTTAGAACAAGACATTTAAGCGAACAATATTGTTTTCAATTAGATCTCATCAGGCTTAACTCTAATATACATAAGTTTACGAATAAAAATCAAATATAAACCAATCATGGTGTTTTGTCTATAGGATAATACGATGGTGAATATAAATTGTGCAATTAGTCATAATAATAGTAATTATAATAGTAATGGTTTTATCAGTAATAAGGATGAACAAGTAAGGCAATCTGTGATAACACGAATAATGAAAGACAGTATGATTAAACAAACAACTGTTCAGGTGGAAGTAGTCGATAAAGCTCAGTAAAAACAAATGAATCGATTACGTAATGTTAGATTGTAAGGGAAGGAAATGAAACACGTTTATAATGAAGATGGGGATGATAAGAAAGGGTTGGAAATATAAATAAGGGGTGGTGTAGAAGTCTTTAGTTGGTTATGTCTAAATTGGCCAACAAGGGAGGGATAATGGCTGTACGAACTTCTTTTGAATGCAAAGTTTAGGTTTAATAGTTCGAATGCCTATCGCCTCAGCTGTGTGCAGTAGACGAATATGAAGTCTATTAGAAAGATTCGGTGGGATACGATGAATTACTTTGAAGGCTTTCGTTTTCTCGACTATGTGACCACTATCAATTAAATGTGACAGAATTGAGCTACGGATTGTTTTTGTCTGTCCTTTGCCAAACCACGATGGGAGATGTTCACTAACACGTTGGCTAAGCTGTCTAGTAGTACGCCCAACATAACTGTCACCGCAGGTGCAGTTGAATTGATAAATACACACAGATATGGCAAAGCCATCAAGCTTATCCTACGTCTGCTTGCGAATCATTCGTCGGCTAGAGAATGACAAACATAGGTGTGCTGCGTAAAATGTTCTGCGTATACTCCTTGAAAGTCTTTGGAATAGAATCTCACTTGATAAGTCCCCATTAAATTGTAACTTAATAAATAGAGGTTGCTTATGTGCAGTCAGAGTCACAGGTTTTTTCTCTGATGGTTTCCTATGTTTCTTTTCCTTGTTTCATTTCCTTCCCTTACAATCTAACATTACGTAATCGATTCATTTGTTTTTACTGAGCTTTATCGACTACTTCCACCTGAACAGTTGTTTGTTTAATCATACTGTTTTTCATTATTCGTGTTATCACAGATTGCCTTACTTGTTCATCCTTATTACTGATAAAACCATTACCATTATAATTACTATTATTATGACTAATTGCACAATTTATATTCACCATCGTATTATCCTATAGACAAAACACCATGATTGGTTTATATTTGAATTTTTATTCGTAAACTTATGTATATTAGAGTTAAGCCTGATGAGATCTAATTGAAAACAATATTGTTCGCTTAAATGTTTTGTTCTAAATTTTAACCTTATCGCATTTTTCACGCTATCTTCCTTAGTGCAATTGAGTACTATGTAATTTACAACTTTTATTTTTATTTTTGAAGCCATTTCTGAGTAATTATGTCATCAATTATGCCATCTCCCCTCCTATTACTCAATAACATTTTGGTAAGTATTAACATTAAAAAAAAATCAAACATTTTGTCCTGATAAATTACTACACAAATATGGAAACAAAAAACAAAGACAACGTCTAATCACAATTACCTTGTCAACAAATGGTTTATCTAAAAAATCTGGTCCACCAATGCTCAGATTGATGACATGCAGCTTTCGACTGATAGCATAGTTGAATGCATCCAAAAACCATGAAGTATACGATAGTTGGAGGTCAGTGAAAACACGAAATATAAATAAATCAGCTTTTGGTGCAAATCCCCATGGTGGACAACTCGTCGTCGAAGTAGTGGTGGTAGCGCTGGCTTGTTCTTCGTTGACAGTAGTAGTAGTAGTGGTAGAAGAAGAAGAAGAACTATCCTCAGAGTTTGTACAGTATAAATCAGGATTTTGTGCAGAAATAAGACCAGTGACATAAGTGCCATGCCCATGTCTATCTAAGGCTATAATATCGCTTTTTGAATTAGATTTCTAAAAATACAGAAAACAAATAGGAACAAAATCAATAATATTCATGACATGAAAGCTTAACACTTTCTAAAAGACAAGAGGTCCGAGGACCCCTCCTAGCCGACTGCTTTACGGCTAGCTTAGAAAACAACCCCTTATCACCAACTATTGACGACTTCCATCTCTACAAGAGATACATCGATGATACTTTCATTATTTGTGATAAGAATTGTGATTTAAAAAACCTACTTCAACATCGACTTCACACTTGAGACTGAATCCGACAGAATCTTCCACTTCCTCGACGTCCATCTGACAAGAAACGCCAACAACTTTCTGAAAAGGTTCATATACAAAAAGCCTACATGGAATGGACAATTCATCAACTTTCAAAGCTTCGTGCCCCCAGAGAAGAAAGAGGAAATTGTTATATACGCTCTTTCCTTGAGGATTCGGAAGATATGCAGCGAGGAAGTGATTGAATAAGAACTGCGTAATCTCCGGAAAACCCTGATGGAAAACGGTTTCCCGCCCAGGTTCATAGACAAGAATCTCAAATGTAAGAAGACTTCCGAACAAGTCGAATCCGTTTCAAAGAAAATACTTTTGCTTAATCTAGAGTTCAAAGGTGATATATCAAAGGTGAAGCAGAAATCCTTCGTAAACGCCTCTCCAAATCGCTGAGAAAAACATACTTCGCCGCGAGCCTACGACTACCGTTTTCTTGCAAGAAACTGTTCAGCCAAAACGCGAAAGATAGGCTGTCGCATTGGACCACTTCAACATGCATACACCAGTTAACTTGCTCTTGCAGAGCTGAGTACATCGGCCGTACCATGCGCCAACTTGAAAAACGCGCTCGTGAACACTATCCAGCCTGGCTAGTAAAAGGAGAACGAAAACGTGTATATAGTTCAGTGACAGAACATCTGATAAATTCAGGACATTTAGCGCTATTCGAAAAATCCTTCAAAGTCATATACAAGATTCGATCAAACCTATCAAAGGGGGTAAAATTAAGACATCTGGGCATAGCCGAGGCACTAGCCATCCAAAAGCTCAAGCCCACACTATGTATCCAAAAGAAATACGTTCAACCCTCGTCCCTGCCGTGGCCATCATAAACAGGTAATTCTTCTAAGAGTGACTATTCCATTGACTTTCTTATCCAAACTTCCTGTTTATTCATGTTATTTTTAAGTTTTTTTTCTTAATCCCTATTTACACTACCATATTTTCATATCCGAACTTCCTGTCTATTTTGTTATTTTATTATTTCTACATATTTCATCCCTGATTGTATAAACAATTATTCGTCGCATTAGTTATGATCATATTAGGTGTTTTATCCAAAGATCCTGTCTATTGTTGTTAATTCTACATTTCTAACCCCTAACTGCACAACAGTATGTTTATCTTCTCAGTAATTATGATGCTACTTTGTCTGAGCTTTATCCGTCCTCCTGTTTATTATGGCATTTTAATTCCTAATTGTAATTCTTCTATTAATCTGACCTTTGACCAGAAATTATTCTGGAACTTCCCTACCTATTTATTCATAAATACACGAATGTACAGCCTTGTCGTTGATGATTTCGTCGAAAAGAAAAATTTTCCTCTTCGCTGCAACCGTCCTTTTATGCCTTATAATCAAATGTGCATATTCCGTGATTTAACCGGATACTACAATGAATTGGTTCTGATTGGAGTTGTTAACATACTCACTCCGCTAGAGGGATCCAATTGTGGATTTTCATGTTATGAGATCAAACTCACTGATCATTCAGTCTCTTGAATGGGGAGGAATTCAGTGACTCACACAAGCTCTTTGTCAATTCGTGATATTTTCAATTATTGATTTTGTAGGGAATTCTGTTTGTTTGATTGCTTGAAGGATTCGATCATGAGTTGACATCTCAGTTAGAGAACCATTGGAAAACCAGCTGGGAGTACTGGACAGCTGTTTTGTCAGCCTGGTTTGCGTGCGACTTTTCCACAGGATGCACCCACCACAGTGGGGTTCGAACCCAGGACCTTCTGGTTACAAGGCTAGCGAGCTCGTAGGCCATTAAACTAATGGGACCCAATCCGATGACCAGTACATGAATTCTAACATCTGACAATACATGATATGGCGGGACCACTTCGCAATGTCTTCTTCTACGAGCTACTGCCTCATCTTCAACCTGCTGCACCCGATTGGCCATATTCAGTCAGTGGACTGGAGTTCTAGTGAGAAGCCATGACCAGTAAGGTACAGCAGGTTGAAGGTGAGAGAGTAACTTATGGAAGAAGACATTACGAAGTGATTGCGCTATGTCATGAATTGGCAGAAGTTGGAATTCATGGGTTGGTCATTGGATCGTATCCCAGTGGCTTAATGGTCTACTAGCCCACTAAACTTGTAACCAGAAGGTCCTAGGCTAGAATCCTGACGGTGAGTCAGCCTTGTTTGGGACTCTTCATCAGCACACGAACCCACTGGGGTTCAAACCCCACCACGCTTTATAGATAAACACAAAGCCGAAAATTAATAAAAAAACAATCCATCTGTGTGCCGACGAAGAATTTTCTCGATGAATTTCGGAGGATATCCATTCTCCATGAGGCCTTGTTTGAATCGCTCCAGATCGTTAATATTTCAAATTGGTTGTTCGGTTAGTGGCAAGCAATAGAGTCTATGATATGCATTTCGTCCTATTTGGTATTAGTCAGCTATATGTACTCCCGTATTGATTTTACAACTCCTCTACCTAATCACATTGAACAATACTCAAACAAAATGACGGTAGCTTTGCCGAGTCATTATTCTACAAGTGCCACTGTTTCTACAAGAGCAATTAAATTTATAATGATAATAATAATTATTATTTCCTTTAATTCCTAGAGGAACATAGAGATCCAGCCATGCGTCTCCATTACGTTCGGTTCTCTGCTAGAGTTTTTACCTGGCTCCAAGTCTGACCACGTAGTTTCATCTCCTCTTCACATGACCCCTTCCAAGTCACCCTTGCACTGACGACCAACTCACTGCTTCCCTCTCGGGTTCCACTCGAGCAATGGCTTGTCTAGTTATGTCATTTGATGGTTTCCTCAAAGTGTGGCTAATCCATCTCCATTTCTTCCTGACTATTTATTGCACAATCGGTTCCTGCTGAGTTGGTTTGCTCACAGAGATCCCTGTTGCTGATCTTTTCTGGCCGGCCACCTGATCTTGAGTGGTATTGAGCGAAGACAACTGTTGATGAAGGTCTGTAGTTTGTTTGAGATGCTCTTTATGACGCACTGGCCAAGTGCCTGATCCGTATAGTAAGCACTGACTTAAGATTGAAGTTGAAAATCCGGATCTTATTTTTCATGCTGAGTGCTGTTGACCTTCACACAGACTTAAGAGTAATGAAAGCTTGCCTTGCTTTTCCGATTCTGGTTTTGATATCCTCGTCAGTTCCGTCCGCCTGTAGTTGAAACGATGCTTCCCAGGTAGATAAAGGAGGTTGTTTCCTTCAGGTTCCTCCCATTTATGCTGGCTGATTGTTGTCTGTTGTTGTTGGCCAGGAATCTTCATCACTTCTGTTTTCTATATGTTCACCTGAAGTCTTATCTTTGATGCTTCTTCTGCCAACTTGTTGCTTTTCACTTGCATATCTTCCAATTTGTGGGAAATCAGTCGTATATATCATAGGCGAAGTTCAGATCCTACAGGTACATCTTATGCCTATTTCCTCATTGCCCGCTGTCTGTCGCATTATCCAATTTACCGCAATCAGGAAAATCATTGGCGATAGTAGGTAGCTTGTCTTACTCCCGTCTTTACTTCGTAGGATTCCGTAAGTTTCCCGTTTTTGATTAATTGACATGCAGTATTGTCGTACAACTATCGGGTGAGATGTATAATTGTCGGTGGTACCCCGTAGTATCGAAGTAGTTGAGAAATCACCTCTCGATCGACGCTGTCTGTCGAAGGCCTTTTCAAAGTCGATGAAGTTGACATAGAGAGGTTACCGGCATTCCAAACTTTGTTCAATGGTGATCCGTAGAGTGTGGCAATTTGATTAATATATGACTTGTTTCACCTGAATCCAGCTTGTTCCGGTCAAATTTATAATGGGAATTTTTTTATTAAAAAATGAATGTATAAATAACAAATCTTCATCACAACACTCCTCAACTTACATTACTCATCTCCACTGTCCAATCAGTTCGTTCAATGATATTACTTGAAAGAAAGTGTGGATGATCCGGTGACGCTAATCCAGTATCAAATATACCGACACGTACACCATTACCACATAAACCTCGTGACCAAGCATACTCTGCATTTAACAATTTCCATGGCTAGATAAAGATAATTGGGAAAAGAGAAAAACAATAACGATAACAAAAAAATCGATATCTACTCAAACACTTACTGACTGTTTTAAATACACCCCTTTGATTTAAAGACAATCTTACACTATCTTTCAGCATGTTTCAACTTGAGACTAGCTAAAAACATATGATTGCTAGAGCATAGTTGCACAGTGGTTAGGACTCTCACCGACCATGCAAATGGCCCGAGGTTCGAATCTCTGTCAACGCACACCTGATATCTACGGGTCGGCCTGCAAAATTTGGGCTACCGATATCACATGCTGAAAATTCCATACCTGTTCCAAAAAGTACTGTTTGGAATCAAGCTGAAATCAAAAATAAAATAATAATGATAATAATAATAATCCCGATGACAACCACGAGCACACTAAGGGAGTGGCTATCACGAAGTCACCGACAGCGGCAAAAATTCTTATGCAGTGAGAACAAGTACTCCCTGGTTTTTAATGGTTCTCTAACTGATATCAATCCGTGGTCGACTCGTAAAAACATAACTAACCCTCACAAACCAGACTGCAGAAGATATATATATATATATACCACGCATCTTAAGTAATAAAATTGTCGTTGTTGTCGCAGTTAGATCTAACTTCTGTGTCTAACTCAGTATCAGGAATATTTTCAAGTGTCGTGTCTGGAAGCGCATTCTAGGGAATTTAGGTGACAACCACATATAAGTAACACATATAAGTATCCACTCCCTGTGACTTATGATTTCCAATTAAACTGTTTTGTTCCTCGTTACTACTATTCCTTTGTCTCACACCTCTGTTTACTGTCTCTATTATTCATCTCTTGTACTTTCTTCTCTTGCTTCGTGTGCTACATGCAGTGGAGTGTGGCGACTTGAACTGCCGCACATATGTGCAAAGTTCTATGTCGAAAACAGGGACACTCCTCTAGGATAATGAAATGAATATTTAACTCAAAATGAAGGAAAATTACAATTATCCCATACTACGAGAACTAAAAACAACTCAGAACAAGAGAAGAAGGACGATTTTTATCGACACCCATAAACTGTAATGGACAACATGCCGAATGGTGACATCAAAATCCTTGTGGGCGTGATATGAATGCAGCCCAAACTGGGAGCAGATAATATAGGAAGAGAACTCATCTTGGGTTGAGATGCTGTCTCTCGGCGAAATGAATGAGAACGGAGAACTCTTCGAAGACTTCTGAGCTTTCAATGATTTGGTGATCGGAGGAAATGTGTCCAAGCACAAGTTAATCCACAGAGCAACATGGATTTCGCCTGACGGACACACAACAAACCAGATAGATTTCATCCCAATGCTACTCAAGGAAATGGAGACGCAGCCACCCTTTTGGACACAAAGTCGAGAAGGGGACCAGATGTGGTCTCACTCAGTCAGATGGGGCACGACAATGAGTGACTCTCAGCGGATACCTGTAGGGCTAATAGAAGAGAGGAGGATGGTGAAGGAGAAGATGACTCTGTCTGTGTGTCTCTTTTCGACATAGAACTTTGCACATATGTACAGCAGTTCAAGTCGCCACACTCCCTTCATGTAGCACACAAAGCAACAGAAGAAAGTAGAAGAAATGCATAATAGAGACAGTAAACAGAGGTGTGAGACAAAGGAATAGTAGTAACGAAGAACAAAAGTTTCATTGGAAATCAAAAGTCACAAGGAGTGGATGCATCTACGCCAGTCATTGACAGCGATTTTGAGCCATGTCACCAATTGTTTCCAACCTTCATTGGTTTCTACCATCCCGAGGACTCCAACCAGTCAGGAAGTCTACACCTTCCTACGTGGCTGGCTTAAACTAACTGTTGTGGATTTCATTGACTGGTGAAGCAATGTTTTGGTCTGACCACCCCCACTTGCTCTTTTCCAGTCTGACCCTATGTCAGATAACATTGCCCATTGTCAAGGATGGCGATGACTAGGCATACGTAGCACATGTCCTAACCATCTCAGTCGATGTAACTTCACAACCTCGTCGATTGATTTCCTCTCCTTACCTAGAACTCGACGCCTAACCTCAACATTGCTCACCTTATTATACCACTTCACACGGGAGACAGAATGCAGGCACCTATGATCAAAGAAGAAGATGACTCAGTGCAGAAATCGAGAGGGGAAGGAGGAGCTGGGTTCAGTGTACACTGCACTGAACAAAGAACTGAAGAAGAGTGCTAGGAAAGACAAAAGACAATTCCATGACACAGTGGCTGACAACTGATGTTGTTAAAGCCCTTTGTTCCACTCGAAACCCAAGTGAATAATAATGTAAATGATAATAATGTAGAGTATTTAGCTGAGGAGTTCTACCAAAAATTTGATAAATTCATTAAATCCAACTATAATAACATTTCATTATGTTATTATTACCTGGAGTCCTGTCTTTGCTGCTTCTTCGACCAGCAAAGACAGGACTCCAGGTAAACATAGACAAGACGGAAGTTATGAAAATAACCAACCAACAACAGCAACAACATCCAACGTCAATCACCATCAACGGGAGGGATTTGAAAGAGGCTACTTCATTTACTTATCTAGGGAGCATTGTCTCAACTACTGGCACTAGGTATGGACGAGGATGTCAAATCGAGCGAAATCGGGAAGGCGAGAAACACATTCATCAGCCTGAAATCAATCTGGAAATCTTCGTCACTCAGCATCAACAACAAAATTCGTCAGATTTTCAATACAAACGTAAAGTCAGTTCTTCTATACGGATCAGAAACTTGGCGGGCGGGTCACAAAGAATATTTCCAAAAGGTTGCAGACCTTTATTAACAACTGTCTTCGCTCAATACTGAATAGCAGATGGCCGGAAAGAATCACCAACAAGGAATTATGGGAACAAACAAAGCAAGAACCAACCGCCAACCAACAAATATACAGGAGAAAGTGGAGATGGATCGGACACTCGCTGAGGAGACCACTGGGTGACGTCGCGCGCCAAGCCCTCGAGTGGAACCCGAAAGGGAAGCGGCGTGTGGGACGTCCAAGGGTGACATGGAGGAGATTTTGTGAAGAGGAGTTGAAAGAATATGGATTAATATAGATGCAGGCGAAAAGTATAGCAGAAGACAGAAGAAAATGGAGACGTGCAGTTGAAGCCCTATGTTCCACTAGGAACCCAAGGGAGCAATAATAATAATATAATAATAACATTTCATGCTTACTCTAAATTCATATCGGCGAATAAACACTTTTTCCAACATTAAAACTGACTACATATGCACTGAGATATCCTGTATGAGTAACACTGGCTTTTGGGTTAAAAAATAAATAAAAGAGAAGGGCAACTCTACCTGTTTTAAGTAATCCAATGGTAAAGTTCTTGAAGCAGCAGAATTTCGTTGTGAATTGTCAAACTGTAAGAGTTAGAAAACACACAAGGAAATATAACTCCATACTGTTAGACAACAAGGGGATGTTGCGATAGAATTTTCTTTGGGTCACCACCTCTCCTTACAGATTATCTTATACATGACAACCTCTATTTTATCCCCCTTCCTCCGCTTCATGTAATAATCACAAATATTTTGTCTCAATTTTATAATCTAATTTCTTCAAATATAGCTTGTCTTGCTATATCGAGTTCCGGAGCTCGCTGACATTTACCCACTTCTCTTTGTTTGCATTTCTCATCGTATATACGTGACCCCGTCTCACGGTAACCGTGTATGGTCCTTCCCACTTTGGAAGCAGTTTGCATGACCTTGGCTGTCGCGTATTCGCCAGTGTTTCGCCTCACACTATCATATGCTGCCGTTGCCTGGTCACCCAGCAGCGTTCCAATTAACAGCTTCAACGCTGACGTATCTTGAACCTCATTCAGCTGCGTAACAGCCTCAAAGTCCTGCCAAAAGATCCGTATGTCTCCTTCTTCAAAAACTGCAGGGCATGACCTTTCCATCTGTCGGTAGGTAGTGACACCAAATGTAACAACAGAAGGCAAGACACAGAAGCCAAGGTATATTTTTCACTAATTCAACCACTGTTAATATATCGACAGTTTATATTCTCTAACCAATCACTGGACGTGTGATTTCGGTTTACATTAAACGACATGAAATGGAATGTTCAAATAAATACATAGCATTCTATTGCTATTGAACTGTGGGAATATGTGAGAATAACATTCCGTTGGAACACAGATTGTCACACCACTACAAATTTACTAGTTCGCTAGTTTCCTGGTCAGTCTTCTAAACCAAGGAAAAGCAGGAAGATTAGGTGTGGTGGGGCTAGCGACCAATCACTACAGAAACTTCAAAGCACAACAGAGAAAAGAAAATGGAGATCGATTGGACACATACGCAGGAGACCGTTGAGTGACATCGTACACCAAGTACAGCCTCAAGTGGAACCCCAGCAGGAAAGGATGATTTGGACGTCACTTTTAAGGGTGACATAGAGTACATCATGTTAGGAATAGGAGATGAAAGCTTATGGGAAGAGGACTGCAGAGAATTGGGATAAAATGGAGAAGTGCTATTGAAGCCATATGTTCCACTTAGAGCCCATGGGATTAATTATAACACAGCTGGAGAATAAATTCTTTGAGAAGAGTTTCCCCACCGAATCACTTTCTTTTTAATTGATTCATTTACGTCGAAACTTATAAAAGATTAAGAGGTATATTGTACATGCTGACCAACTAGCTTATTGAAGAATGAAGTTAAAAGAGCCTTCAAGGCAGCAGAGGTACGTTGTCTCTTCACAACCATCCCTATTCTATGTTCGAGAAATAAGGATAAACTATCTAAATTTGCTTCGTCTATGTGCGGTTGCGGAGTCAGCTACATCAGGTGTACAATTAGGCAGGTTCATCATCGTATTTCCGAACATAATCCTGCATGCTTGAGTAAGGGACAAACAAGATCTATTCATAGCTCTGTTTTAGTACACCTTGTAGATAGATAGTGAGCATAAGTTTGATGTTAATACAGCATTCAAAATTATTTATCGCATTCCTACTAATCTTAATTTCGCTTTACGAATTTGTCTTCTACATACCTACAGCTGAAGCACAATAGGAGTCCACCTGAAGATAAAAAACCAAACTTGTGGGTGTGTTCAGAAGAAATTTGTACGGCCACTTTCCTTAACTTGGCCGTCGTTACATGAATGTATAAACCGGACTACTTCGCCCCACTCCCCCCAAAACCTTTAGAAATTATAACTGTCCAAATTATTTTATTATTTTTTCTGACTAATTCATTTTTAATTACATGTGATCATTGTCCAAATCGTTTAATTTTTCTTTAACAATCTTTTACGTAATCAACTTGAGCACTAGCTTATTCCTTAATTACTCTACATTTTTTCCAAAATTATGCATTATGCAATCCACATGCTGTAACCATTTCTACCTTTTAATTGTGTGTGTTGATTTTCTTCGTTAATTATCACCACCACCCGTTTAACATGTTGATACTGACTAATTATTGTTAACAAAAATATCCGAGCGATGCTGGGACATCACTCGTACCCAATTCCCATGAAACTACATGAACTCTCTTACAAATTGCCGCGCCTGGGCAGCGATGATTCGAGACGTTCATGAAGCCGGCTCATCCTCCCGTAGGAGATAGCGAAGTAAAGTAAAGTAAGTAAAACAAAAATATCAGTGCCATTTGATTGGTAAACTGTTGTGTATTGTAATAAAAATGGGGATCTAATTGAAAAGTGAATATTTCTTCGTTTGAGAAAATTAAAACAATTAGTCCCTTTGATAAATTTGAATAAGACATTCAGAAGACAAATTTCGCTAGATGATATCTTCATTTCATAGTTTCTCTACAATCGCTTTACAACTAACATGGTTCACAATAGTAATAATAAAATAAAATGCATGCATGACAATTACTCAGTTATATAAAACAAAAGTATATACTACTAATGACCAATAGTATTTTTAAATTATTATTGTTTATTTATTTATTTAAACGCAGAAAAACCTTGGTACAATATGGCACCAAGAAAGATGCGCCACAAAATAATAACAAAAAAACCTGGATCAAAAGTTATATATATATATATATATATATATATATATATATATATATATAAGTAGAGAATGAATAAAGAACTTCGTCTGGAAGGAAAACAGTCATACTTAACAAGTTCAAACAGTATTCGTTAACTATCAGCAGGAAGGGAGGAAAGAAGGAAATCGCAACACACTCGCCATTGACTACGATTCTTGGACATATCCGGTAACCTTTTGAGCCATTGATTCGAGCTATCTTGCGGACCCCAACCAGGGGGTCGTAACACACCAACCGATGCTAATCTAGCACAAAAATCCTTCATCCCACGACGCCACGTCATGGACTGACCACCTCTCCGCCTTTTCCATCCCGTCCCAGGGCTGGCTAACGAACAGAGACCTGTACGGAAGCCTCTGGGATGACATTCGCAGCACATGTGTAAGCCACCGAAGCCGGTGTTTCCAGATGATGATAATCAGTGAATGGTGATCTCCACTGTGTTCAAACACACGCCGCTGAACCTCAGAATTACGCGATGATGCTATCGAATGCAAGCAATCCTGCGGAGACAGCGATGATCGAACACGCAAAGTCGACGCACATCCTCAGCTCGGAGAGACCAGGTTTCACAGGCTTAGAGCAAGACAGCCCGCACCAAACCAATGCACTTCTGGGATATTTCCAAATACATCAAGTAGTCAGTTCATGGTAGGCGGAGGTTGAAGTCTCTTGTGTTTTGTACACATAGTTAAGGGTGTATGTGATTAATCCCTCAAAGTGCTTCCATCACCTTCAATAACCAACCTTGAATTAGAGTTATGTGATAAAATAATTGTGAAACAGTTATTAATATTGATTTTGTGACCTAACACTAATAAGTGCTTTGCAATGGATGACGATAATGCATTTCTATTTCTATTCAGATCAATTGCATTGGGATATTCTATGTGTATTAATAACCATTTTGTAACATGTTCTTTTCTATGACCACATCGGAACATTCTATTGTTTCTACCCATATAGGTGTCACTGCAACAACTACAGGTGAACTTGTAGATACAGTTTGAAGTAGAGTCGTCCACAGAATTTCATCCTTTTATCGTAGGTACAGGGATCAAAAATGTTCGGCATGCTGGGGAAAGAGATGCGATGTAAAATGTGAGATTGATGGCTGACGGAAGTCTTTGAACTGTCAACTGCAGGTAGGTTATTGAAGGTGATGGAAGCACTTTGGGAGATTAGTGACATGCACGCTAAACCATGTGTAGAAAAAACAACAATAGGCTTCAATCTTCGCCTACCACTAACTGACTACTTGACCTATTTAAAAATATGATTGGTCATTAGTAGTATGTACTTTTCTTTTATATAACTGAGTAATTGTCATGCGTGCATTTTATTTCATTATATTATTGTGAACCATGTTAGTTGTAAAGCGATTGTAGAGAAACTACGAAATGAAGATATCATCTGGCGAAATTAGTCTCTAAATGCCGCATTCAAATATTTCTTCCCTCAGTCCTTCTGCTTTCTAACGATCTAACCGGGAATTTTTTCTATAGTGAATAGTACTCAGTACAGTAAGGGAAAAACTATTAGGACGCCAGCATCATTCATACTTCGCATACTTCAGTGACTCACATTATAAAGCAAAAATGTTGTGCTAGAACTAGCTAGTTAGATAGTATTTACCACCCTATCAGCATCTACGCTTATCAAAACATGCGCAGTTATACCTGCAGAGACACACAGATAAATCAACTTTCTTTCTTCTTGCATGACTTGCCTCACTCTGATGAAATAAACTCTGTGAAGTACGCCGATGATTTAACAGTTTCAATGGCTGGTAACTCCCAGCTAGATGGTGCCAAAATAATAAATAGCTTTCTGTCGGGAGTCAGTAAATGGTCTGAGTTTAACTGTCTTAAACTGAATCCTTCTAAATGTCAAACTGTTAATTTTAGCTTAAAATGTAAAAGACAGTTAAAAGAAGTCATCCATTCTCATGACGGTTGTAAGATTGACGACAATGATATAGGAATTAAATCGGAAATTAAGTATCTCGGACTTATTCTCTCTTCTGATCTTTCCTGGTCTTCCCATGTCTTAGCGATCTCGAGTCAAATATTCCACCTGACATTTTACATTAAGAAGTTAAGACACTCGGGTATAACTGAACCTTCTTCGTCTTACAGTTCATAAACTTTTGCATCCTGCCTATTATTCTTTATTGTTCACCCTTATTCTTTCCTGGTTTGCTTAAAAAGGACTATGTCACAATTCGTAGAATGCTGAAGACTGTCAGTAGGGTGGGTGGTGCCCCCGTGGACCACATAGTTAACGTCTTTGTCGATAGGCACTTGACTTCGTGCAATAAATTTGATGAAGGGATTTTGTCTGACTTCGATCATCCACTTTACCCTCAGCTTTCACTTTGCATCTCCTCAGGTAGAACAAGAAGTAACTTCAAAAAACTGTATGCTCGCCCGTCTAAGTATAGAAATTCTATGATACCATACTTGGAACGTATTTTATGTGATGAAAATAGTGTCAGGCAAGAGCTAACAATATCCTCCATCCATCCATCCTTATATACCTTCAAGTTTTATTTTTATTATTTCTGTTATATTTATGGTCCTGTTTCTTCTTTGTTTTACTCTCATAATTGCAAGCACCAACTTATCTCCATGACTTCTGTAATCTTTGTTTTTCCCCTCACCATATCATGTAAAGAGAGAACATTATATTCAATATTTTTAAACCTGCTAGGATTTCCATACCGCATATAACGACAATACTGTGTGAAACAAGCCCATGGCAATTTTTCACTTCTATTATTATTACCTTAGCTGTTATCATTTTTATTATAATTATTATTTCCATTTTATATGCTGCATGTTTTTTTTACATTACCCCTATTGTAAATGTGGAAAAATTTTCTGTGTGATTAATTTTTATATATAATTTGAGTAAATTAGATGGAATATTGTGTGTGATTAATGCTGAAAATTGCATTCTGTATCACAAGTACTGTTTTTGGAATAAAGTAAATCATTATTCAAGTGTTGGTTTGTAGGGATTTGATTGGTTTCAGGATTTCATCATGAGCTGACATTAGTTAGAGAACCATTGGAAAACCCGGGAGTACTGGACAGCTGTTTCGTCCTAGTTTGCGCTCACTGGCGACTGGCCCTATTCAGGTAGTAGTTACCTAGGTTCCAGTGAGAAGTCGTGACCAGTAGGGTGCAGCTGGTCGGGTGTGAGGACAAATACTCGCCGAAGACATTGGCTAGCGGTCGCGCTATGTCGTGAATTGGCAGAAGTTAGAATTCAAGGACCATTGGATCGGGTCCCAGTGGCTTAATGGTATACGGGCTCGCCTTGTAACCGGAAGGTCCTGGGTTCGAATCCCGGTGGGTGCGTACTGTTGAAGAGTCCCAAACTGGGACGAAACAGCTGTACAGTACTCCCAGGTTTTCCAATGGTTCTCTAACTAATGTCAGCTCATGATGAAATCCTGAAATAAATCATTATTATTATTAGTAGTAGTAGTAGTAGTAAGCACTTACCAAATTTAAATTGCGTCCAAAAATTGAATGACTAGCTGAGGGGTATTAAGAAAGGAGGAAGAGACAAAAGTAAAAACTCACTGTATTTAATATCATGTAAAATTTAAATATATATGCATAAGAATACAGATAAACGCATGACGCTGTGTGTACTATACTACTGATTGACTGAAATGAGTAGTTGGATACTATTCACATGAAATAGTAGTACTTCCCAGTCAGCTAGATCGAAAGGATTTGAATAACTGACGGCTATACATCAACCGTTTGGGACTGAGCTCACCAGTGGTGAATCCAGTCTGACACTCAACTCAGAGAGGCGAATGACTTCAAAATCCCCTGATGATTATTACGCCTTGTATCGAATTCGAAACTTCCAAAGTGATTAGCGACTTGCAATTTACCCAGTTGGATGTGAAAATTCAGTACAGTTTCCTTTGGAAATCAAAATGATCCACACCGCGATGAGTATGGTCTGCTTGATACTGTAAGTGGTCATCAGGAAACAAAGCATAAAAGCTTACATTCTTTCTGATTGGACAGAAATAACCCATGTAATCTTTAGCACAGACTGAATTCTATCAGTCAGGTAGGCAATGTGGCCACCATGCCACTAGGTGGCTCGCCATCACGATGCACTGCGAATTATTGGTATTACATGGTTGGAGGCAGTCGGCAGAAAGCTAAGGCTTCCAGTGCACCGTCATGGCGAACCACCTAGTGGCATGGTGGCCACATTACAAACTTGACTGATAGAATTCAGTCTGCTCCAAACACCAAGGACTAGACACATCCCACTAGTTACTAGTGTCCAGTCGACGTATCCAATACAGTCCTAAAGGAGGTCAGTAATCAAGAGCCTGAATAGCTCAGTGGTAACGTCTCTGACTTCAGGCGGCACTGGGTGACGCGGGTTCGAATCTCCTCAGAAGGGACATCAGTTCCTTCAAGGCCGTTGCAAATACGCCTAAAGGCTTCCTGCTGCTTACCTTCACGCATCTAACACCAATAAATGCATACAACTATATACTTCTAATTGACTGAGATGAGTGATTGTATACCACTACCTCGTATCAACCAATGGTGATGGTTTGAACTGATTCGAACCATCTACACCATCGATGAGGTCGACAACAAACAAGCGAAACGGTCACAGTGTGTGTTTACACGACTTCGATCTGACTGGGCAGTAAGCTAGTACTACTCGCTGATGTGAGTAGTATACAACTATTCGTATCGATCAATCAGTAGGATATACTGTTTTACGCATTTGTGCTTGCTTTCTTGATTACCATTTCTGAAGCTAAGCCTATCACATATTGTGACTGATCATAACAGCCTCAGTTTCCAAAAGAAACTGTGATAAAATTTCAAATTGTGGAATATTAACTGAAAATAATGATAATGAAACGTTCTTCCATGAAAATTAACCCTACATTGGATACTTTATTCTGGGCAAAGTTAAAAACTTTAAGCACCACTAACTATCAATCTCAGCTAGTGACCCTGAAGGCACCAGTTTCATGAATTAGGCGTTTTTGGGTATAGAATACACATATTTATGAAGGGGGTGGGGGGAATGCATAAAAACTGTATAAAAGGATACCTTACTCTCATATGTGATAAAAAATATCTCCCAGTTTAGCATAGGAGGATCAATGGGACAGTTACAACACATCCTACACATATATTAATTCATCTAAATGACTATAAATGACATCCTTTTGAGATCTATTAAAAATAATAATAATAGTAATAATAATTTGCTTTATTCCAAAACATTACTTGTGATACAGAATGGAATTCTCAGCATTTCACTGCAGTATTGTGCATCCAGTTAGTACATTAACAATAAATAAAATTCTACATAGACCAAGGTTAATCTCAGTTAGTTTTGACAACAACATGTTGCATATCAGTAGCAAAGCCAAAAGTAAACAGAATATTTGAAGGTGTTAGAAAAGTAAATACTAGCATATTTACTGGCGTAAGCGGTAACAAAAAGGTCGAGATATACAGAGTTTGAAAGAACGAAGAAGAATGCTTTAAATAGAGTTTGTAAGGAAGAGAGAAACAAAGGAGCGCGTAACAACAAAAAAAAGAAAAGGAAAAGCGAGAAAGAAGAACGTTATACTTATAAACGATATGAGTTGGGAAGACGAGATCCAGTTGTTCTACCGACAATTTAATAAGTTACAGGTATCACGCCTAATGCTTTCTTTATCGCACAGAACATGAGCTAAGTAGAGTACAGTTGAGTTTTGCACTTCCTAGTGCGAGCATAGGTTTTTCTATATAGGCTTCTGATCTGTATGCCTGATGAGATACAAGGGGAGAGTTGTGAATGAAGAGGGTGGTGTGAGTTAGATAGATAGAATGGATTAAGCCCATTTTTCACATGAGTCCATGTGCCTGTCGACCAAAATATTAACAAGCTGGTTAAGCGGCAGACTGCTTACCCTGCTGACAACCTTTAACATCCTGCGTAATAAGGCATAGTCTTTCTTCAGTAGTGCTGGAATAAAAGGCAGGATGCAAGAGTTAAAGAATCGTAAGAGTAAGGGTTGGGTTATTCCAGAATGTCTTAACTTCTTGATGTAGTGGCCCTAATCTTGTTTTTCAACCTTCCCTAGGGATGACAAAGAATTATATAACCTTTCCACTGATTTGCGTGTATCATAGATCCTTGTTTCCTCAGTCGACTGATAACAGATATTTTGTCTGATATTCTCTCGACAGGTACCATATAAACCAATTACACCCAAATATTATTTGCTCATTCACAACCACGGTTGTACATTTTCCAGACAGTTTCATCCACATGTACGATGATACCTTCTCCTCCCAATAAGGAAGTAAGCCTCTCCATTCTCCAGAATGCGATATCCCTGCAGCGCTGGTACCACTGGACTATTGATACCAGACTATTTTCAGTTTCAGCAGCTGTACCTGTCACACACTGTTTTAAAACGCAGTAATTACAGGCATACAAAATTGGGTTGTGGACAGATGGGATCTGGCAAAAAATGTTCCTACGAAATATTACACTCATCAGCAACCGCATTAGAACAGGCAATTGACTCGGATCAAGTGGGATAGCAAATTTAACTCATGTTAATGAAATTCAATGGACCATTTAAGGTGAGTGGTGCCGTCACACTCTGTTGGTAGTCAGTAGCACTTAAAATATTAACTCGGTCTTAATCTGAAAACAGTTGACCTGATGTGCAATTGATAGTGTTCTTCTCTGAGCTGGTTGGTTTAGTTGCGGAGCTTTCATCGTCCCCCTGCTGGACAACATCTTCAGCGCAATATTTAGCATAAAGTGAAATGGTTTAAATTTTTCGTGATATAATTGCGTCTCCCAGTAACCATCTTTACATATGTATTGACCATTTTCTACTGACTTGGATTTTAAACTTTCTGGTCACATGATTTACTTTTTATAAGTTGGTATACTTGGTCTATATTAACGTGTTTGTTAATTGCATTTCCGTTTGAGTACCAGGCTTCAACGAATTCCCTGACTGCACTTTTGGTGTTTCCTCTGTCCAAGATTTCGACATTATCCCAATCGAACTGATGTCCATAATTTTCTATGTGCATTGATATCAAAGAATATATATCGTGTCTTTTCACGGCTGATTTGTGTTCTTGGATTCTGATTCGAAGTGGACGTCCACTTTAGCCGATGTAATGTCTGTTACAGTTCATACATGCAATTTATTTTGTAAATGGTATTAATTTTATCTCCTTTTTCTGTTGGATTTTTCGGTTTGCATAATACCGAATTAAGCGATTTGACTGGCTTGTGTGCTATATCTATATCAAACGCTTTCAATAGTCTAGCTGTTACTTCAGAAATACTTTTTATGCATGGTAGGATGAATTTTCTTGTGTTCTTTGATGATGGTTCCTTGTTGGTGTTGTGATTCAATTTTAAACACTTTTTTATGAAATTTTGTGGATAGCCATTCTTTTTGAACACCATTTGTAGGTATTTTTCTTCCATTCTTTTCAACTCTGGAGTGTTACAGTGTGTTTGAACTCTTTTAAACAATGTCTGCACACAGTTTCTTTTGTGAGTAATTGGATTATTGCTGGTATAGCTGAGTATTTGATCCGTGTGCGTTGATTTTCTATATACTTGTGTTTCTAAATTTCCTGTGTTGGTTCTCCTGATTAAGACATCTAAAAATGGGATTTTGTTATCGAATTCTTCTTCTCTTGTGGTGAACTTGATGTCTTCAAATATGTTGTTTATTAATTTATGCGTATATTCTAAATCATTTGTCTTAATTACTACAAATGTATCATCAACGTAACGTACCCAGATTTTTGGTTTAATTATAGTTGGTAGAGCTATTAATTCTAATCTTTGCATAACGGCTTTAGCTATTAATCCTGATAAGGGCGATGATCCCATTGGTGTTCCTTTTATTTGTTCATATATTTGAGTATTGAATCGGAAGTATGTTGTAAGGCATAATTTTATGACTTCTATCCAAGTTGAACATCACTGCGTTTTTATGTTTTCATCACTATAGAGTAATTGTTGCATAGTTTCTGTTGCTAGTTTTGGACTAATTGAAGTAGGCATAGTGCTGTGATATCAAAGCACACCATTATTTCGTTGTCATCTACTTGGATATTTTTGATTTTCTCTAAAAATTAGATTGACGAATTGATAGAATGGTCGCATGATTTTGTTAGGTGATTTAATTTCCTGAAAAGTTCTTTAGATAGATTAGATGTCGGTGTCCATAGAATCACTACATGCATATGTGTATATATTCAGCTTAGTGGAAACCAAGATTCTATGTAGATAAGTAATATTTTAACAATAACAGCACCATACTACTCACAAAACAATCAGTAGGATCGAGAGAATATGAACAGAAGATAAACTTGAAAGTGAGAAAAGCATACTGGAAGAAACCCTGACTGAAAAAAAGTTACCGAAAGAAGTCCACAAAGAGATATAAAGTGATAGAACAAAAAGATCTATTCTCCAGCGTGTTACTAAGATGAATAT